CGAGCGTGTGAAAGGCAGAGCCTTGTCGCCAATAAAACTGTCCAAACAGTGTCTCAAGAAAGTGCTGTTCTAATCTGGAGTTGTTTTTCTCAGGCATTTGGACTTTTACTTTATTTTTGTGTGTGCCTTTTGCTGTTTTCTCTGAGAGACGGACCTCTTGGTCATTAGTTTAAGATGACTAATTAAAAAAACCACCACCACCAGCAACAGAGCCCCAAACCAACAACTGAACTGTGTGGTCTGGAAGCTGTTTGCGTTGGCGTGGGGGCCGATGAGGGGACCTCGGTGTCGGCGGAGCTGGGGCCGATGGCGCAAGGTGGGACGAGCGTGGCCAGAGCCAGGTTGCGAGGCCCGGAGCGAGGACCCCTTGGCATCATCCTGCCTCTGCTGGCCATGATGCTTTTGGCCTTCCCTGCTAGGACCTGGGTTTGACTCCGGTTTCTCAAAGGCTTGAGAGGCCCCGTGGCTCGCCAGGTTTCTGGGCCAGCGCTGTCACTCTGCCTCTCCGTCCTGAGCTTTTCTGCTGTCGCTCGGCCCTGGAGTGATCCCAGTTGCGTGACGCTTGTCTGAGCATTGAAAAGCAACTGTCCTGCATAAGTGTTTCCTCTCGGAGAGCAGGTCTGGGGCCCTGCCAGCTGCTGCAGGGCTTGTGCCATGAGTTGATCTGAGTCCTTGTAGAAGGAGCAGAAACCCTTTGACAGGTCTTGTCAGCAGCTGCAGGAGCTGTTTCAGGCTGCGCAGAGCGTGCGGTTGTCCTCAGCAAGCAAATCAACCTCGCGAGGCCTCGAGGACCTTCAAGGAGCGGCAGCCGAAGGAGCGTGGGTCTGGGTAAGTCCTCAGATCCTCTCCTGGATGATGCCCGAGCTGGGAACCTCGTCGCTGCAGCCCCCCCAGCAGCTGAGTTTGCTGCGGATCGTGGGCAGTGGGCAGGAGGACAAGTCTCCTTCCACCTCCCTGCAAGTCTCCTTCCAGCCCCCTGCAGACCAGGCTGCTCACAACAAAGTTTTGACCCGCTCCAACTCTTCCCCTCCCCCCCCACCTTAATTACTGTTAAATGTCTGATGGGGTGGAACAAATGTAATTACTTTGGGGGGAGCTTAATTACCTGCTTTTATTGCCCACGCTTTGTTACAATCGATGGCTACTGGCACCTTCAACTCCTCATCCGTGTAGGGCAGGAGAGCAGACCCCTCCCGGGGGAGACCCGCGTCCCGGGCACAATCCTGGGGTAGTCTGATACCAGGCCCCAATCCTGCAAGGTGCTGAGCGCCCTCTCCTCCCCCTGCTCAGACCCTGCTCCTCAGGGTGCCCGTTCCCTCCGCCAGCGTTGTTGCTCCTCGCAGCTGGAAACGTCAGCCCGGCTCCGGATGAAAGCCCAGCTCCCGCCGGGCGCGTTGCAAACGTCACCCCCTCTCCTCCCGCGGGAAGGGGACTCTCGGCTCCCCCGCAGGCCTGAGCATCCTGCCGCTTCCCTGGAGGTCTCGGCCGCGGCGCCG